ACAGCGACGCGCGCGACCGCCCCGGCCACCGCAGGGACACAGACACCGACCGGGCCACGGACACGACAGCGACCGGGCCACCCCTGCGCTAGAACAGAAAAAAAGGAAAAACCAAAGGAAAAAACGCAAGACAACACAAAAACAGTTCGTTCTCACTCCAACATCGCAAACTCCTTGGACATTATGCTACACGCCAGCCTTGTCAGTAATCCAGAACTCTGCAAAGGAAAGAACCAGAGATGTGCAAAGAAAGCAGGAAAGCAGGTACATGCTCCTAAGTGCCGACACGCAGCGGCGCCCAGAGCCGGATCCGGAGGCGCCGCGGCGCTCCAGAGCCCGCGCGGCAGCCTCGGACACCCGGAGCACAGCCCGTGGTTCGGGAGATGCTTGCATAGTTTGTAAGTGCATGCACTGGGATACAGCACGAGAACGGCCATGCAAAACCGCCCTAGAAAAAAGGCTTCGTCATGCTCAAGCGTCAGCTTTGGAAAGCAAACAGCTCTGCATCTAGACAGGATGAGGGCACGTACAGCGGGATAAGAGTACTGTAATTAAGCTGCTAATCCTCTAAAGCATCTGTTTTATTTAGTACGTCTGAAAGGGTTAACAGTTTGTACATCTGAAGTGAGACACGAGTTACCAATTACTGTAGGCACCAATTTGTCTATCAAATGTGATTAATACAAATAAAAGGTGCCTCATTAGTATATGCCATCGAAAATGTGCTTATAATTTGTATACTACAAACACTATTCAAAAAACACAGCCCAAAAAGGGTAAAAATAACTGTTTTAGGTGACTCCAGCAGTAGTCTAGCTCTGGAATGAAGGTGCTACCTTCCTGCACCAAAAGGCTTATTCCAGGAAGAGGAACAAGTGTCGGACTAGAGATGTGGCAATCTACGAGTTGGGAATGGCCTGATGCCCACGAGTTCAATGCAGAGTTGATTGGAGATGCACCGCGAGAGCTCTGGGAAGCGCCGCTTCCCCCGGGGCCGCGGGCCTCGGAGCAGCCCCAGGCCCTGGGCCGGGGATCAACGCGCGGCGCCGCTGCCCGGGCCCCGCGGAGACCGCACTGCAACACGGACGGGAGCGCCGGCGCAGGAAAGGGCCAGGAAAGCAGACTGCTGTAAAGGAAAGAGGAGACTGATGTTCCTCCTTCCCAAATGACTTCACAGAGGGCCTGCAGCAAACCGCGTTCGTTTATGGAAACATTTATCCTTTGCCACTGATGCACCCCAGGTTTTACGGGCGCACGGCCGAGCCCGACTGCAGTAAGGAACATCCTTCTCCCCTGCAGCCACATCATTTAGCCCTCTCCTTCGCAAGGAACTTCCCAGACTACTGGAAACCTGAGATACGGGAAAGCAGAGGGTACAGAGCAGCAGCAATGACTTCCCACCCTTGCTATGGAACAGACACAGACGTAGGAGCAGGGACCCCACCTTCCAAGTGCTGCACAGTCACGCGTCGCTCGTTTTGCCTGGGATGGACCTTGGATTCGGGAAGAAGCCGAACGCCCTGCCTGGTGCGGATCCGGAGGCTCAGCCCTGCCGCAGCATCCTGCCTGGGAGCCTGGGATGTTTAAACGGATTGCTCCTGGAGGCAGGGAGCAGCCGCACGCACACGGCTGCTGCAGGGAGCCCGCATCGCTCTGCGGGGATGAGGGTGCCCGGGAAGGGGAGGACAGGCCCGTGCGTCCTCCTCGGGCCGCTGCGACCGGCCTGCAGCACCAGCCTGCGCACCAGAGCCTTCATCCGCACAGGGACCGGGCACCACGTCCAACGGGCAGAGCCCGCAGCAGCTTTGGAGCTGCTTTCCACAGGAGTCACCAACACACGGGAAGAGCTACATTAGAAGACGCCACAGGAACGCAGAGGTTCGACCCACTTTAACACGAGCACTTGGCACCCGGATCTCTCACTCCCGCTTTGTCTGGACAGGCTCTATGGCCACTCTCATGTCCCAGGTACACACGGGACTGGCATTCAGCTAAGTGTAAACTTGGACATGGCTTCAGATTTCCTCCAGTAAAGGCATGCAATATAGGAACAAAACCCACCTCAAAAACCATAAACCAGCTTCCAGTTTATACTACGTAAGACTTTTTCGGTGAATGACAGCATGAGAGGGAAATGTCATTCCGTAAGAGTAACCTTTTGCAAACAGCCATGGTAAAAAGCATAGAAAACTACATTCTGTCTATTAAAAGATACCAAACCAAGTCAGCAGTGGCTACCAGGATTACATTCTTTCTAGAAGAGTTGTTACAAGGGAAGAGTCAACACAGTGCAAGATCTTAATATAAATAAATCATTAAACAAATATCTCAATATCAACATTTCAGGGAGTAATTTAAGTAGTACAACGTGAAGTAAATTCTATCTGCTCTGCTCAATATAACAAAAAATAATCCAAGAATATCCAAGTTATACATTTAAGAAGCTAGTTACATAACCTTTGCTTCTTGTTGCTGCATTAGATGAGAAGGAAACAATACATGGGAGAAGAAATACACTGAGGAGATGGTCACATTCAGGTTTTAAAACACAGCCCAGGACGCATGGCCCCACATATCGTAACAACATGCAAGCTACTGGCATTGCTCCTGGGTTGCATGAGGGTGCTGCAGAACCTGGGCCAGGACAGCGGGGTTCTACACGGGCTCGTGGCCACACAGGAACCAGGGCTCTGTGGCACCCCAGGCCACCTCAGCACAGCCATGGCCATGTGTCCTTCCTCCAAGGGGACAGCTAGAGCCAAACCCCCCCTCTCGAAACCCTGCTGCAGGGGTGAGGTGAGCTGGGGATGACGTGATGAGGGAGCAGCAGCGCACCCCAAAACTGAGCGGGGTCCTGCAGGGCCCGCGACGCGGCAGCTCGAGGACAGGGAGCAGACTAGCTGACAACCGCTTGTTTGAGAGCCATTGGTGACAGCGACAGAAAGGATTAAGAAATAAGGCTGTCCACAGGCTGGGCCTTAAGCAGCTTAGCCAAGTGAGGCTGTAGGACAGGCCAGGATCTCACTCAGGAGACAAGTGCGCAGAGCGCTGCCCAGCTGCTCTATGTTGGAAGCTACAACACAGGTTGGTGCTATTCGTAACAGACATGGTTATTAATAATGTAGTGCAGTAATAAATCAGAAAAGATCACACCTTTTAATCTACCTTTTAAAAGGACTATGTAAACACAGATGGAACCAGATGTAGTGTTTGAACCCTGATAGAGACCGTCATCCAAACAGCAACCGAGAGCGGTTTTGGTGAAGCACTGTGGCAGCTAGACCTCCCAGAACATGAGACACACACCAAGGAGGGGACTGCAGCACTGCACGGGGAAATGGGAAAAACTGCTCCACAGCATCCGGCAGAGCCTCTCCAACCTGCACGAAGAGGCTTGTTCACAGCATGCTCAGAGAAGGCAGAGAAGACAAGACAACACTTGACTTATCTAAGCATTACTCCTATAGATAATAGATGCTATATTCACAGCACTACAAGTCTGAGCACTTAGAAAATGCTTCTTCTCAGGAGTTTAATGACAGAGGTCCTATCACCACCTTTCTGGTGCATGAAGATAGCTGTCTCCTATGGTACTGTAACAATCTTCCACCTTGCACTTTCACAGACAACCAGCTGTTGCTTAGTGTAATACTCCAAAACGGGAGAAAGCAACTAGAGAGCGACAGGCAGAGGTCATCTTAGGTATGGATAGAGAAAACTCTTCATAGATACAACAAAAATGCTACTCACTTTATAAACACACTTTTCTCTCCTGGAATAAAAAAAAAAGAAACACACGAAACAAACTTACAAACACATACGTGCATGGACACACAGGTACCTTTCTGGATCTGTCCATCCACTAATGCTAGTCCCTCCTATACCGGCTGAGTATATACCTGAGAAACAACATTAGTGTTGAGATATTGCCCTTTAAAAAGCTTGAAAAAAATGGAGGGGAGCAGTGAAAGAGGGTTGAGAGAGAGCAGGAAGAAGCAGCAGTCTCTCCTTTTCAGTTTCCTTAGCATCCTTCACAGCTCAGACGAGGCCAGACATGAGTGTGGACACAGCCTGCTCAGAACAAGACCAAAGGAATATCAGTTCACAGCTCTACAAAGCACACTAGTGCCAGCGTAACTGCGTTTCAGGATTTCCAACCCTGAATCTGAAGAAAGTTGTTACATTTTCTATAAAGAGACTTCTGTACAAGTGCTATGGGACAGCTGCATTCACGTTCAACAACGACTTCAGCTAGACTACTTGCATCAGTGCTGGCTGCCTGTGGCTATTTGGTTTGATGGCAGAATCAAAAGGCGCTTTAACAACTTGCAGTTAACTTCTCCTCAAAACATACATTAGGCACATGAACAAAAAAACAAGAGCTCAGAATAAATTAGCTTCTCTGCAGAAGAAAAGACACCTGGATTGCAGCATCTCACTGAGGTTCCAGAGAAGACCGTACAGACACCTGCATGCTGGAAGGTAGTTTTTTCAGCGACTTCTCAGACTGCTTGCCACTGGAAGGAGACTGGACTGCAGGATCTAGCTGGGAAGACTTGGACTTGCGACTAGATAGCAGAGAATGTTTAGTGGATGTGGCATCTTTTGAGGCAAGCTTTTCTTTCGCAGTAACATTGGCATTGGTTTGAGAGGCTGGTGGGATGACACCCTTCTCCGATTTGTCCTCCAGTACATTTTTACTGGCTGACTTGGAAGAGCTGCCTGCTGCCTTTTTTGAGAGCATTGTGGTCTTCCCCAGGTCTGCTGACCTCCGGGTCTCCTTCTGCCTCAAGGCAGATTTAAAGAAAGACAGTCCTTTCTCTTCCGACTTGCTGTCCCTCTTCAAGCCAGAACGCATGCCAACGTTTGGAGACCGCAGGTTGGCCATGGAGGAACTCCGCACGTGCTTGCTCTCCACTGTCCTGCTGTCACTCCTCGAGTGGCTTATTCGGGGGGAGCTCGTTCTTGAACTGCTGGTAACGCTCGTTTTATCTGACCCCAGACTTATCTTGGAGCCCTCCCTGCTGAGGCTTCGCTCTGAAGTCCGGCTCTTTGCAGCAGAAGGGCCCTTAGTCACTGACGGGGCTTTCTTGGCAGCTGCAGAGGATGGAGAAGAACCTGACTTTTGTTTTTGTTGAGCAGACGGGACAGCCACCTCCTGGGCCTTGGTGCTCTGCTCCTTCCTAGCCTGACCTGGAGCAGGAGATCCATGTCGCCCCATGGCCCTAGAAGAGTCCGTCTTGCTTCTGGAACGGGAAGCCTTCTGAGAACTCTTTAGCGGAGGAGAGGGGTGAGAGCCTTTGGGCTCTTGGGTGGATAAGATCGTCCTTCCCTTCCTCAGGCTCCTGTCCGGCTCCGAAGCTCCCTTGGAGCTGTGAGCCTTCTTGGAGGTGCCATCTGCCTTTTCCACAGCTAGCCCGGTGCCACTGGGGCCTTTCACCTCTTTGACTGGAGAGCTGTCCACAGAATCGCTCTGATCAACAAAGGCAATTTGATTGTTATTATCAAAGGGGTCCAAAGCAGGGTAATTCCTGTCTCCTTGCACAGAGCTTTTACCAAACCTGTCTAAAAGATCCGAGCTGGATGTCCTTGCTACAGGCTCTTCCCTGAAGGCCCCTTCCATGACAGCCAAGGGAGCTCTGCGAGCCGCCCTGTGCTCTCGCCGACTGCCATCACAGGGTTCCAAGTAGCTGCTGGACAGATTCCTCAAGCTGCCAAAGCAAGAGGTGGAGACCTTATCATCAGCAGCCTCTCCGATCTTCTCCAGGGTGGAGGCGGAGGTGTGCACAGGGGAGTCCCCGGAGAAGCGCGACGGAGAGCCGGAGCGCAGCTGCAGCTTGGCCGACAGCGACCACGAGGGCCGGGCGCCGTTCTCGCTCGCTGCCAGGGGGCTGGTGACGGACGACCTGGACGACAGGCTCTGACGCTGGACGCTTCTTACAAACGGTCGAGTGGAAAATCCACCTGCAGGGAAAGGAGGCGGCGTTCTCAGTATCAGACACGAGCTTGCAGTCTGTTCGGCCCATCCATCCCCCAAACCCGCTTCCCTGAAAAGGGCAGTTCACCTACTCAAGCTGTAGGCCTGATTTCTTCGTGCCTGCTGCACATTTCTTACATAAGGGTTCCATAAGGAGTTCCAACAAATTGGTCCTTGCACTGTGGTCACCCAAACATAATTGCCTGAAGGTTGTAACTACAAATCCAGCTTATCCTCTCATCCCTGAGGAGCAGGACACTAAACATGCTTTTGCACTGCACATATCCTTAAAAGTAGCAGCAAGTTTATCAAATTCCTTCCCAGAAACATGATCATATTCATTACATGTAAGAGTATTTACCTGTGTGTTAAAGGCAAACTAGGGGTTTTGCTTCCTGAAATAAAGCAATATATTTATATTTAAAGAAAGCACAACTGCAAGTATTTTAGAAAGCTGACTACAATGGTTGGATTTGACTTAATTGCAAGCATTACTGCAGGGCCAACTCCACGTCCAATTCAAGAAACCCAGAGAGCCCCCTTGAAGCTCATCATGTTCAAGAATTAAAGCACTATATTAAAACCAGAAAGCAAGTAGTTATTTTCACATATGAGTGTATCAGCATGTGCTCTCTACTCCTCTCTTCCCGAGAGCAACTGTCTACAGCACAACAACTCTGCACCAGACAGCAGCAATGTGTCAGCCTCCCCAGAAAGGAGCTGCAGGGAAGTCAAAAATGCACCACACTAAGAAAACAAGCTCTTGGTGACAGGTTTAGCTGATGGTATTTTCTTCTTCTGCAAAGCTCCTTAACATTTCTGTCCTGCTTTTCCTCACTCTTTCAAAACAGAAAAAGAGATCACCGCTGCCATAACCCATCTGTTCCTACCGACAGCGCCTGCTGGCCCCATTTGCTACAACTGTCCCCTCTATGTATTACGCAGCTATCCTAGCTATCCTTTTATCTTGTAAATGGAAGAGATTAGTGGCTTGAGAAATCAGTTTTGCCCCAGCGTCCCCCTGGGCCGCGGTGAACACCCACCGTCGTCTTCGCTCCTCTCTCCGGTCAGCTCCACGGACTCCGAGAGCGAGGCCAGCGACGTGCGGCGCGAGGAGGCGGCGGACGCCACGCTGGGCTGCTTGCTGCCGGGCAGGCGGCTCACCCAGTGCTCGCACAGCGACGAGCTGGTGGAGCCTGCAGGGAGGCAGGCACAGGGCTCAGGCCGGCACCGGGGGACGCAAGGGACGAGCGCGTGCTGCCGCGCGCAGGGGTTGGACACCTTGGCTCAGCCGCGGGGCCCGGCTGCCACCCAGAGCAGATCTTTGCTGCTGTGATAGCAACGATCAGGCCCACGGCAGACAGCACTCACGCCAAAGTGCTCTGCGCCCAAAGGATCAGCGCGACAGCACAGGCAGAGGATGGTGTCTGAACTGCCACAGAACACAGTGTTTGCACTTTCCAAAGGCAACCACCAGGCTGAATCTGCCTCCCACCTTATCCCATTTCCACAACCAACATCCAGCTGCTGGTCACTCGAGACCAATGGCAACGCTAGGGGGAACAGACTAGTCACATCTGTATGTCCGTGGATTGACAGGGGCAGCTCTGAGCAGAATTACCCATGGGGGCTTCTCACCTCTCCACAGCCTCTTTGCCACAAGCAGCCCTGAGCAGCAAAGCATGGACAAGGGCTGCAGGGTGCACAGGACAAGCTTCACTGATCTCTGGGACTGCGAGAGCAGGGGTCTAGGCAGAGCTGGGCAGAAACTCTGCAGATCTATAAAGGAGAGACTGGAACACACTCTGGGATGAAGCCAACTGGCCTTTACCTGCCACAGAGCTGTTAGCAGACCACGACGGGATTGCTGTGCGTCTCTGGTAGAAAAGAATATACGCTGTCTGCTTGCAGACTTCATTTTCAGAAAGCTGCTGAACATCACTGTCATCAAAGCAGTACCACTGGCCATCAACTGAGTTTTTGCAATATGCTGAGAGAAAACACATTACTATTAGACTTTCCTTCATTCCTGATTACCTCTATTTCTGTTGTGTTGTTAACTTAAACATGACCTTACCTGCTGTGATGGACTGAAAGTGGGGGGGAAAGGAACAGATTTAATTATGGCACATATCCTTCTCTACCCTGACCAGCAGGAAGGAAGGCCGAGACTGCTAGACTACTATACAAAGCTCCCACTTCAGGATTTGCTCTGCCCAGTGTTACTGCTCAGAACAGAACACCATTTGGGGCAGCTCCATTCACTTCGTTTTATAACTTGCTGCAGGCTGCCTCCATTGCCTGTAAGACATACCTGTCATCCCCCCTGCACATTTTAATTTAAGGTAGAACTCATTTAGAAGATCTAGTTGAGCAACTTTGCTTAGAAGATGCTCAAGATCACTGGTTTGAGTGGCCACTCAGTAGGTTCTTCACGCAGTCACACAAGGCTGTCACCGCAGTACTTGTGCACGGTGAGAAACAGGTCATATCAACATCCCTGGAATTCACATTTTCTAGTGGTGAAAAGTGTCTGGTAACACATTTGGGGTGACCAATCCTTGTTGCATTTCTCAGTGAGCAGAGTCAGAGTCATAAAAATCAAATTACACGAGCCAGCTCGTTAGTCACATTGGGTCCTTTCGTCAAAGGGCAGAAACTATAAACACTCAGCAGCAAATAGCCCTGTATTCTGTCTGAAAAGATCTACCATGCACAAACCTGCAGGATACTTGCCTGTGTAGTGCCCCCCTTGCATGGTGCCGTGGTGATTGCAAACAGCGTACAGATCGTAAATATAGTCCTCAGGATCCCTTCCAAGACCATAGGGTCGCCTCCACGGGGACCAGTGCGAGGGCAAACTCCAGCTGCTCTGGCTGCGTTTAACGACGTGAGGAGTCATGTCCAGGCCACTCAGCGGGAATTTAACCATGTTTTGAAGTTTCATCCTTCGGTCTCCTTCCTGTACAAACAGAACAGCATGAGCAGCTATGGCAGACAGGGCACCACGGCTGAAAAGCAGAAAAGCACAGGGCCAAGAAGCTGCTTCTGAAGGAATGCTACAGACAGGTCACTGACAGGCAGTTCGCCATCCCCACACATAGAAAAAAGGGCAACATTCTTAGGCAAAAAAGCTCTTATAACAGCCACCTACAGAACATACAAGAGCAGCTATCTAAACCAACCCCAGAAGGCAGCGTATGGGTTGGGAGCAGCACAAGGCTTCCCACCTATGTGTGACAGAGCCACTGAGGGTCCAGCTCCAGGTTTAAAGAACAGGCACCGGCTTCCAGAGCTGCCCGTGTCTCCAGGGATGGAGAGGGAGGCAAATAAGCACACAGCACAAGGGCTGCGGTTAAAGCACTTGAATTGTGCAGCTTGGGTCTGCAGCAAACTCACCAGGAATATCTGAATTGTGCAGCTTGGGTCTGCGGCAAACTCACCAGGAATATCTGGTTATGAGCCACAGACAAGTGAGAGCTGGAACCATATTTGGGAGAACTGTCACACCTGCTTGTCCTGCTGTCACACTCCTCCCTAGGCACGTGCTTTTGAGCTGGGCACGCAGCACAGGACATCTACCTGACCCAAAGCAGTCATTAAGACCTGCTGGACATGACTGCCCCTCCAGGCACCCTTCCAGTGCCACACACTTGGAATTAAAGTAACTGTAACTGCCTACTCAAAAGGCTTGTTTGAAGAGCAATTTTCAGTGTTCTTTAACCTCTCCCACTGTTCACCTTTTTCTCTTACCTGCCTAAACCTTTTGAGATGTATGATGAGAACATCAGGTAAGGTCCAGAGGCTCAGTGTGATGCTACCCTGCTGCAGCTGCTTGCAGTGCGGGCAGCGCCATGCATCATCTGGGGCAAGCTGCAAGGAAGCAGCGTCAGGGACGTTAGTTTCCAGAGGGCAACACCATGGATTCCTGGGGGCTGCTCTGCTGCCCCGACTCTGTGCAGACACCGCAGACTCCCAAGCTCCACCTCCAGCACTCAGTAAGCTCACTAGAACCTGGGTTACCAGTGACACTTCTCAAACAGCTCTAAGCAAGATGACATCTGCCTCACGCAGGAGTACTTGCCCCTGCATAACAGAACACAGTCAGTGCTGCTGTAGAGAGAAGCTATTTCCACCCTAAAAAACTTCAATTCCTTAGAAAAAGGGGAGAAAGAAAACCAAAGGCAATAAGCAGACAGTCTTGTCAGCCCAAGAAGCATACTCACAAGAAAACTCCCAGCAGGAAAAAAGGAAAACACATAGGTCGACTTGGCATTTCATGTTAGACACCTTGCTACTCTGAACTGTTTCTTTTTTTCTCCCTATACTCCTCTGTCCCAGAGAGTATGTCTGAAGAGAGACACTGCTGCTTCACAGAGGAAGCTGAAACAGAAGTGTACTTACATTTATTTTTCTATGTATATACAGCATATATACATGTGTACACTATATACACATTATATATTTTGTTTTTATTTTGTGTGTATGCATATACATGCGTACATACATGTATCTATACAGAAAAGCAAGCTTTCTGCTCATTGCAGCGAAACTGTTAACAGGACTGATAACCAGCTGCTAACTCATGTTACACCTTTAGTCCCTCGCGCCAGCGAACTGGTGCTTGCAGAACAGAGAGCTACTCTGCTGAGGACAGGAATTCAGGCAGCGCACGGACTAACTGAGCCTTCAGCCTCTTGGCTGCTCTACGTTCTTCCTACCTGTTCCTCTTTGGTGTAAAGTTGGAAACACTGAGATAAAGTGCAGGTCTGAGGTTGATGATGAAGCTCTCTCTGCTGGCGGACGCTTTCAGAGTCTGGAATATACTCATCCTCTGTATTCACAAACAAACTGTAGAGAGACAACACGTTTACCAGCACAGCCACCCGCTCCGCGTGCTGCGGGTGAGCAGCACAGTAAAAATAACATTAAAGGTTAATTAAAAAAAAAAAAAACAGTATCAGCAGTTAACTCCTCCATTCGTCCCATCAGGTGGGACAAATTAAGCTGGATGGCAAGAGATTGCACTTGAGCAGAATAACTAAACACGAGCGGACAGACTTGGAGTGAATGCCACTGAAACTGTCCGTGGGGACCAGGCACTGCCTCCTCACCACCTCACGGGAATGACTCGCACAGCAAGAGACACAAGGGGAAGGTGGGAAACCACAGCTGAAGCTCCTGCTCCGTAACACAACACCCAAAACAGGGGGAGTCCCATTCAGAAACACTTAGCTCACACAAGCCCAGTCTATCTTTAGAGACAGTGGCCAGGGCTGGACATCTTGAAGGGTCTTTCGTTTGCTGCCCAGGCCAACAAGGCACATTGTGCCAAGCTATTCCCAAGCACTGCTCCCTTGCAGTGGATACAGGATAGGGCTTCCTGCTGCTCCGTACTTACTAATCTTTAGTTTCTTTGTCCCATTCCACCACCAACTTCACATGAGCAGTTCCCCCCTGTCCACATGACTTCAATGCCCTGGAGAGAGGAGCAGATAGGAAGCTTGAACATCTTTGAATTTGAAGCTTTTGTTACCTTTTACACGCACGTAAAACTCTTTAGCCTTTTAGCACTGCTCCTCCACTGCCACCCAGATCCAATTCGATGTGGTGTAAAGAAGTTCACAGAGCCAAAAACGTGGCAGAGCCAGAGCAAAGCACATGTGCTCCTCTCTGCTCCCAGGACTGAAGGCCAGGCCTACCTTTCCACAGTGGGGTGGCAGAGGGGTCGCTCCTCCTGAGGTAGCAAGTAGGTTATGCCCACAACACTGACCACTCGCAAGCTGAACGGGCAAACCTGCGACAAAGACAGTACAAGTCACATGAGTAACTCAAACCCAGCTTACATATATGTGTAAATTTGGTCTCTGCAGAGGCTAGTAAGGAGATTACCCAGGAATTTGTGTTTGGCAAAATAATGCAAAAAGTTATCACTATGCTTGGGAACAACATACATAAACCAAGCAGATCAAACAGATGTAGACAGCACTGAGGTTCTGTGCCCCCAGACTCCTCTACAGTGACTAGAAAGGACACTCCCACCCTCATTCCTTCATCCCCTGGCTGGGGATCTCATCAGAAGCATGAGCTCACCACTGACCAAACATTTCAGCTTTTACTGGGGCAAGCAGCACTTACTGGATGATTTCAGGCTCAGAGAAGACCGCTGATTTCTCAAATACTTCCTTGGGGGTAGAAAGGAAAAGCAGCCTGTAGTTCTTCACCCAATCAGCCTGATCTTACCTGCACCATTCTTCAAAGAGCAAGCAAAAGCATCAAAGAGGCTGATTTGGGCATTATTGCTCAAAGAAATACTGGGAAGAAAGCAGTTCAGTATGTGCAACATGTTTACCAATCCCAGTAACTCCTGAACTGCATCATCTGAAGCCTCAAAGCAGACAAATCATTTGCCTCACCTGCATACAGGCTGTAGGCCGCAGGAAATACTGCATCTTCTCCAAAATTTCCTTCTGCAGAATATCCCAAGCAATTGTTTTTTCCAAATGCAGTACGAAGGGCAAACCAAACCTACAAAAAGAAGTGGTATTTGAGGAAGGAATATAAAAGTTATTTGCTTCAATAATCAGACCTTCAAAATACAATGAGAGTATGCAAGCTAGGAATGGATTCTGTGGTCTCTTGGTATTGTCTTTTCACTAAGTGATGAATAAATCCCAGGTCAATTAATGAAGCAGCCAGAACAACAAATGTAACTGTGAAGCTGCCAGTCACCTTCTGCTCTGTTGTCCAGTGCATGCTCTGTTACACACAAGCAACACAATCTTATCATTTGCTGCTTGTCTAGCAGGGGACTGTTCCAGTTTTCCAGACTTTGCTGTTCCTTGCGAGTAAGATATTGTTCGAGATTGCTCAGTGCCATATTTCAAGTTATTCAGGTTATTGTTTAAATGTATTCCTGAAAAATAAGGAGAAAGGAAATATGTTATGCTTTATCATTTGCCACTAGTGCCCTGATGCTTCCATGAACAGAGCCTCTCCTCCCACTACCCCAAGACACATTCCTTTAACCTCGGAGCAGGTTAGCATCAAATCAAGGCTGACTGAACAATAGATATCTTTTTAAAGACTCAAAGACTTCAAAACGCAGTTGCTTCTCACAGTGACTTTTTTTGTATAGAACAAAATTATTCAAAAAATGCTCATCCCATATTTCACAGCAGTTTGTAGAGGTACTCACGGCTTGTCTGGATGCAAGACAAGCTACTGGTAGAAGCTTGTTTCACTTTTTGTAATGAAATTAGTCTCGAGCCGCCTGCCCCGCCGGCGCGGGGCTCAGCGCGGCAGCAGCGCCCGCCGCTGCGGAGCGGCCAAGAGGAGTCCAGGCTCCCCGGCCTCCACCCTGCACACTGTGCTCCCAGCCCGAGAACGCCAGCAGAGAAGCAGAGTTTTGAGCTTTAAAGGAAAAGTGTTTGCTCAGTCCTGAAACTCATTGTTCAGCACTGGCAACCTGCTTTTAAGTAACATCAGTGGCTTGATGTAAACCCCAGCAGACCTTGGAATGAAGCCTGAGAAGAGTTTTCAAGATAAGCCAGCCTGCCCTGACAACGGGGCCAGGAAGGAGGCAGTGGACATTACTTCCCAGCAGATGCCACTGTTAAGGCTGCCAGAACGGGTCCAGACCAGGTCAGAGCGCAAGTCCATCTATCTGGACACCATCCACTCGTGGGACTTCCTTTTCAAGCATCCTCTCCCAAAAGGTGACCCCCTCAGGCAGACACCTGACGTGGGCACTAAGCAGAATTATCTACTTGCCTCTCTGGCTAAGGATCCCTTCAGGCCTAAATATCTCTGGGGTCTCAAAGGCAAAGATGCAGTCGCTTTCGTGGATGGTGTCCAGGTCATCAGTATCACAGAAGGAACGATGGAAGCCGTCGTAGTACATCTCCGTCAGCACAATCTGGAGCGGGCACAAACAAGAACCCGTTATGGCACCAGCACTTCCTCACAGAAGTTTTCCTGCTAAAGGATGGCATTCCTCAAAACGTCCAGTACCAGGCAGCAGTGAGGGAAAGGAAAGGACTACCATAAAGGAAAAGCAGCAAGGCTGTATGCGGAGAAGCCTTGGTGGGATCCTATAGCTTAAGTCTTTCCACAGTGGCATTCCT